TTTTATTTTATTAGTTGTTTATTTATCACTTTTTTAGTGATACACTATTATAATATTAGATCATAATTTAATTTTTTTTAGTATTAAAAAAAATCAAAATTAATTTATTAGAGATACAGKTTGTGTACAGTATAGGACATACAATGTTTTCAATATTCATGCAATTCTATATTTTATTGTTTATTAATGGGTATTATAATCATTATAATTATATTTTTTAGATGTGAATAAAATATGTCCTGATGTAATTGTTGAAAATGAATTAAAGTTCATATTGGATTATAGATCTAAAGTCAAAGGAATTTGTGAAGTGTTGACTCGTGATCATATGAAAGTTGCTTTCTTTGGCAGGTTTGTGGTTTTTTTTTTTTTGGTTTGATTGTATGTAGTTTAAAACTTACAAATACAGTGACACTTTTAAGAACCAGACATATTTTATATTTATATGTACYACTCACCACTAACAATTGAGTAAAAGATGTATAGATATTATGTTATATTATAATATAATAAAGATATTATTTTTGTGTCATCCTTAATTTTTTGTTTTCAATTGAAATTTAAAAATATTTGAATCATGGAGTTTAAATTTCATTTGTGGTCCAAAATCTTTACGATAGTTTATTTTTTTWAATATTAATTTTATTAATATGTTAAAATCATTATTACAATACTTAGAACAAGCAATGGAAAAAGTACAGTTGTAAATGCTATGTTGGGAGAAAAAGTCCTTCCTAGCGGTATTGGTCATACAACTAATTGTTTTCTACAAGTTGAAGGGTCTCAAACTGGTGATGCATATTTAGTTACTGAAGGTAGTAATGAAAAACAGAATGTAGAAGTAAGTAGTTGTACATTATTAGATAGTTAAATKTGTATGAAAATTGTTTTAATTTTACTATAAAATTTGTTTTTTAGTCTGTTACTCATTTGGCACATGCTTTGAATTATGAAAAACAATTAAATGAAAAAGAATTGGTACATGTTTATTGGCCAAAAGATAAATGCAGCTTACTAAGAGATGATGTAGCTTTAGTTGACTCTCCAGGAGTGGATGTTACTCCACATTTAGATGATTGGATTGATGCACATTGTATTGATGCTGATGTTTTTGTGTTAGTTGCTAATGMTGAATCCACATTAATGGTTACAGTAAGTCAAATGTGTATATTTTAAATAATTATTAATAATTTGGAATGGCAGATCAAAATTTAAATTAAATATGATTATGAATAACTTTAAATAATTTTCTAACATTTATGCCTTAGTTATATAAACCAAAAAAAAGAGAGATATTTTCTATTATATTATACTTATACTAAATACATGAAGTTGTTTAAATTTAAATACTAAACAAGTAACTAATTTTATTAATTAATATGAAATAAAATAATATTTTTGAACTACAATCACAAAAAAATATGACTTTCAAAGTTTTTCATCCRGAAATTAAAAATCAAAATAATATTTAAAGACTTTTGAAGTTAACATTTAAAAAAAATTAGCCATTAGGTGTTTAAATCAAAAAGAATGATTTTAGTTATTGGTTGTAATTAAAAAATATTATTAGTGAGGAATTGAAACTTTTACATTTATTATTATATTTTATAAACATAATGATTAGGATTTGAATTTTACTTATGAAAAGTACTGAAATATGCACTTTAATATGACCAAAATAATCTTAATATATGCACTAAAACATGCTCTAAATATAAAAAATGGCAAAAACCAAATAATATACAATCGAGGAATAAACAAATAGTAATGAATTAAAATTAACAAATGTTATGGATTACAGAGTGACATTGAAAGACGTATGATAATATATTCTAGAATATAGAATGTAT